GTGCTCTGGGTCCATTCAGGATTTGGTGGGCCCTGGGTCATCTCACTCACTTGCTGGGCTTGTGCCCTGGGTCTTTTCAGGATCCGGTGGCCCCAGGTCCTCTCACTCACTCGCCAGGCCTGTGCTTTGGGTCTATTCAGGATCCAGCGGGAAAATTCCTCTTCTAAACCCTGAGTAGGGCTTTAGAGAGCACTGAGACAGCAATTGAGACTGGGTGTGGTGGCACGTGCCTATAGTCCCAACTCTTGGGAGGCTGTAAACAGGTGATCACTATGAATCCGATCTTATAGTGAGACCCTGAACACCCTATAGAACCTTCCCTAAAAAATAAAAAAGTAAACAACAACAAAAGACAACATGTTTTCACACTGTCACCTCTCATATTCAACCTTGGGAACCTGGGATGGGAGAAGTGACTGTGATGGGGGTTTGCATTAATTACAGTTAGTTTCAAGCTTGAGTAACATAATGCCCCCAAATAAGTGACTTAAGCAAGGTATAAGTGCATTTCTCTTTCATAGTCAAGAAATTTTGATGGTCAGTCCAGAGCTGGCATGAAATGCAAACTCTTTTTCTTGTTTTCCTCTGTGATTTCTGTTCATAAAGTCACTCATGACTCAAGGTGCCTGATGGTACTCCAGTCATTAACTTCTATAACCAAACCAGTAGCGAAGAGGGTACAAAATGAACATTAAAGATATCCACCCACTTGCATTTATACCCCAGTGGTTACGCTGAGATATAAGAGAGGCTGTAATATGTAGTCTTGATTCTGGGCAGCTAAATCTATGAAAAAGTTGGGGGTTCTGTTCCTAAGGATAAGAGAAAGAAATATGGAGGAAGACGTGGAAGCCTGTTCATAGCTTTGAAGGAGAAGTGGCCCGAGCCTCTGCCAGTGTGGGGGCCCTCCCCAAGCAGAGTTGCTGCTGTTTCTCTCACTGGGGCTCTAGTGAATGGCTGGAAGGCAGCACTGATGGGGGAGCTGCTTCACTGTGGAGTTACGAGGATGGGGCATGAGTATGCAGGCCCCTGATGCATGGGCGCAGCGTATAGCATATGGTAAGTGCTCAGTCAGTGACAGACGACTGTTCTCACTGGGACCTCATTTCAGAGCAGATGAGGTAAACTGGCCTTAAAATCTAGGGAGCCAAATCTTTGGGTTTGGGCTTCCTCTGGGTCTGCCTCCTGTTGCAGGAAAGTTCTGATGTCACTTCCAAGGGGACTACTTGCCCCAAGACTATGTTCCTTCCCTTTTGCTCTGGGCACCTGGAGCCTGGGAGCCAGAGCCTTCTAATGTACCCACCTGCATTCTGCCCATCTTTCTGTAGTCCCCTCCCAGCACAGGACAAGGATGCAGGCAGGCAGTGGACACTCCTCAAGGTTGTGAGGATGGCTGCATGTTTTTGTTTCTTCTGTGTTTAGCTTCTCCAGGCTCAAGTCAGATCCCTGGAGCAGAACAAGGTGAATAAAAGCACCATGGAACAGGAGCTGAAAGAAGTGAGTAAATGGAGTGGCCTGTGCTTCCAGTCTCCCCCAGTCTGAGCCCCAGCCCTGCTGCCCAGGGAGGTGGAATCACCAGACAAATCCAGCAGTGAGCCTCCCCAAATCACCTCTCTTCATAGAGAGAGGAGAGGGTTCTTGAAATTTGTCCTGTTCACCCCTATTTTCAGCAACATTCCTTTATGTGAACTTAAAAACCAAGCACCGACTCCCCTGTCATAGGAAAACCTAAGCTTGGATCCCAGTTGTTTTTGAGTCAGTGTAGACAAGAAGATTGAACTTGTACCATGGCTAGACATCAGTGTCCCAAACTCGTAAAAAAAAAAAAAAAAAAAGACCCAAAGGATAGGATGTCTGCCAGCTTGTTCCTGCTTCTACCCCAGCAGCCCTGACCCTGGAACCCCTCTCTCTAGAAAGCTGACAGGAGCGCCCTGGCGAGCAAGGCCAACAGGGCTGACCTGGAGACAGTGGTGACCGAGCTGAACAGCATGATTCAGGGTATGCTCTTGAAGGTCTCAACCCATGAGGATGACTGGAAGAAGTCTGTAAAGCAGCTGAGGAAGGACATGGGTGCCAAGGTGTGTGCCCCTGTGTCAGTTATCTTTTGCTGCACAACAAATTATCCCTGAACTCAGCAGCTTCAAACAGCACATGCTGATTCCAGAGGCAGTAATTTGGGAGCAGCTAGCTGAGCTGGGTGGCTCAAGGTCTCTTATTTTTTAATGTGTTTGGTACAGGGTCTCACTACGCAGCTTGGACTCAGTGATCCTCCTGTTTTCAGCAATCCCAGCACTGAGATTAGAGGCATGCACCACCATGTCCAGTCTCAATGGCTGGCTCAGTGCTCCTAGGGGTGGGGTCAGTGCAGCATGTCATGTCAGGGATTGAACCCCAGTCTCTGCGCTTGCCTAAGTAGGCACTTAGTTCACTTAGCTATCTCACTGGCCCTTAGGGTCTCTTATAAGGTCACAGCAAAAGTATCATCTGGGGACTCCATCATCTGACTTGACTGGGACAAGAAGGACCACCTCAAAGATGGTACCCTTAGCCATGCATGGTAGTATATGTCTATAATCCTAGCTACTTGGGAGACTGAGGCAGGAGGATTGCAAGTTCAAAGTTAGCCTGAGAAACTTAATGAGACCCTGTCTCAAAATTTAAAAAAAATCTTAAAGGGTGAAGGATGTGGCAGAGTGGTAAAATGCTTGCTTAGCATGTGTGAAACCCTGGGTTCAACCCACAATTAATTAATTAATTAATTTTTATTTCCACGATTTTTTAAAAAAGAAGAAGACATCCTCACAAATTCAGTTCAGTCCACAAGTTACTCTTTCTCTAGGCCACTTGGATGGTAACATCCCCCAGAGTAAGGACCCAGGACAGCAAGAAAAAAAATCTGTTGATCTGGCTGGACATGGCCTTGCATGCCTGTAATCCCAGCACTTGGAAGGCTGAGGCAGGAGGGTTGCAGTAGAATTACATAGTAAGACCCTATCTCAGAAAACAAGAAAAAGGCCAGGCATGATGGTGCATGCCTATAATCCCAGCACTTGGGAAGCTGAAGTAGGAGAAACACCACAAGTTTGAGGCCTGCCTGTACTTCATAATGAGTTCAAGGCAAGCCTGAACTACATAATGAGATCCTGTCTCAAAAAACAAAAGAATGGGGCTGGTGAGATGGCTCAGTGGTCTAAAGCACCTACTTAGAACAAGCTTAGCAAAGCACAGGGACCACAGTTCAATCCCCCAGCACCACATGCCAGCCAGCCCTGCCCCCTGGTGGGCTGAGCTGGCCATACACACACACACACACACACACACACACACACACACACAAAATAAAAATTAAAAAAAAATTAAAAAAAACAAAAGAAAACCAGAAACAAACATATGAAGTGGAATTCAGCCGTGACATTGCTTGCTTTATAACACGTAGTATGAAGTACTGACGCACACTCCCACATGGATTAATGTTGAAGGTAGTATGCTGAGTGAAAGAGGCCACATACTGTATGATATTTATTTATTTATTTATTTATTTATTTATTTATTTATTTTGGTACTGGGAGTCAAACTCAGGGTCCCATGCCTGCCAGGCAGGCGCTTGTGCCATTGAGCTCCATCCCTGGCTGCATGATATTTATATGAAAAGTACAGAATAGAAAAATCCAGTGCTCGCTTCGGCAGCACATATACTAAAATTGGAACAATACAGAGAAGATTAGCATGGCTCCTGTGCAAGGATGACATGCAAATTCGTGAAGCGTTTCATATTTTTATTTGGTTTGAAACAGTCTCATTGCTACTTGCTTCTCTAATAAAATTATGGGGAAAAAGAAAATAATAAAGTATTTTACGCATACAAAAAAAAAATCCATAGAGGCAGAAATTTGATTAGTGAATCCCAGGGGCTAGGGATTTGGGGATATACCAGTGTTCTAAAATTGATTGCAATGTCATATAATTCTGTGAGTATACTGAAAGCAACTGAATCATTCACTTTATATACATGCTCCATAAGTAACAAAACAAAAAACCAGAAGGAATCCTTGTGGGGAGAGAAGATTCTTCTTTCTTCTTTCTTCTTCTTCTTTTCTTTTCTTTTTTTTTTTTTTTTCTTCAGAACTGGGGATTGAACTCAGGCCCTTGCGCTTGCCAGGGAAGCACTTATTCTACTGAGCCATCTCCCTGGCCCCTCACTGTCTTTGTTTCATTCTCCTATTATCTTTGTAACTTTGCAATATGAATGAATTGACTAGACTGTTTCTTCTTCCTTCCGGCCATTGACAGCTGGTACCCAGTGACCTGGATGCTCTGAAAAAAGAGGTGGCTGACATCTGGCAAGCAGTCAGGAAACTGATGATAGAGGGCTTCCGACTGGACCCAGACCGTGCTGCAGGCTTCAAGAGGTGACCACAGAGGTGGGGCCAGGGACAGGAGTGAAACTGAGAATACAGATGGTCTCACTTTGGCCTCCCGAAGTGGGTGGGAGCAGCCTTCATACAGCAAAAGAGGAAAGTGAGGCTCAGAGAAAGAAGAGATGTGCAGGCCACATGGGCCTGGGCAACTCCAGGGCCTGAACCAGGGCTCTTGACCCCCACCCACTCGGGCAGCCTGCCTGCCCTCACAGCTCACAGGGCCCACAGCCCAGAAGGGAGGACAGTCCTTTCTTTACCTTTCCCCTCCTTTCCGCTCCCTTTCCCCTCCCTTTCTTCCCTCTTTTTTCCCTTTCCCTTTGCCTTCCTTTTTGTGTTTTATTTTGTTTCAGTACGGCAACTGGGGATTGAGTCAGAGACCTTCCAATGAACTACATCCCACCCTTTTCATTTTTTTATTTTGAAACATGGTCTGGTTAGTCCGTTAAATTGCCCAGGCTGGGCCCAGATTTACTATCCTCGTGCTTCAGTTTCAGAGTGCTGGGATTACAGGCTTGTGCCGCCCTAGGAAGGCATGGTATGGGTTGGGGAGGAAAGCCACAGGAACCTGCGGACAGGACAACAGGGTCGGTAGAGCTGAGCCCAGAGCATCTGCAGCCTCCTCCTGCACTGTTGGCTGGCTGATCAAGGCTGACTTGTCTTTCAGGCAACTGTTTGAGCGAGTGAAGTGCATCTCCTGCGACCGGCAGGTGGAGATCATGACTGGCCCGTGAGTACCGCCAGGGGGCGCGTCCAGCCGCACAGCCAGGCTTTTGCGATTGGGTGGACCTAGGTGTCCGTGCGCCCATGGGCACTGCTGCACAGTCGTGCATATACAGTCCGTGTGCACTGTTCCACAGCTGTTGTGAGCAGTCTTATGTGTTGCAATACTAGACCCTGCTTTTCATGCCACCTCTGAGGGCACGCACAGATGAAGGAAGCATTGTCTATCACTGATCCTGTCTACCAGGGCTGTATACCAGGCATAGGTCAATAAACCAAACCAAAATAAAACCAGATAGAATCCTTGTGGGGAAAAGCAGATTTGGATGAAACCTGATCATATTTTAAATTTATTGAGAGCAAATTCATTTAGCATAGAAGAACTTTTTTTTTTTTCCCCCCAGAACCGGGGATTGAACTCAGGTCCTTGCACATGCCAGGGAAGTGCTTATTCTACTGAGCCACCTCCCCAGCCCCAGAACTTATTTAAAAGTGAACACTTTTATAGTGTTCTGCAGATGTCACCTCTGTTTAATTCCAGAGCCCTATTTAGTCTCCCTAGGAGGAAATCTCAACCCATTAGTGATCACTCCCCATTGCCAGCTCCCCTCCTGCCCTTGGCAGCCAAGAATCTGCCATCATTCTCTATGGATTTGTCTTTTCTGGATGATTCCTGTAATGGAATCATACAGTATATGGCCTTTTGAATCTGGCTTCCATTTAGCATATTTATTTGGTTCCTCTGTGCTGTAACATGATACTTTCTACAGCTAAATACTATTCTACTGTGTGAATAGAGAGCCAATTGGTTGATGGAAATTTGGATTGCCTCTATCTTTTAATTATCATACCTAGTGCAGCTATGCACATTCATGCATATTCAAACACCTGTTTTCAGTTCTTTCGGGTATAAAACTAAGAATGGAAGTACTGGGTTATATGGTAACTCTGTGGTTAGATTTTTTAGGAGCGGCTACATAATAATCTGTACTGAGTGCCAGACTTTGCAGGGCCTCTGCAGTGCTTGCCTAGCCGTAGGGCCCTTGCACCTCCTTCCTGTCAGCTCACAATTATGGAGGAGCTTCAACCAAGATTTTACTTTCGAAATGCAGCTATTTTCTGTATTATGTATAGTAGTAAAAAAGATGGAAACAATGCATGTGGTAACTGAGTTGTAGTTCATTCACATCAGGTAGTGTCAGCCAAGTTATATAAGAATGCCATCCAGTAGAAAGTTCTGCCATGATGTGGATGGTAGCATCTGGTCCAGTGCAGGAGGTACCTGAGACCTTGGACTGTCGAGCACTTGAAACATGGCTAATACATTTGGGATACAGATATTTAAATTTCATTTAAATTTAGTTAAGTGGCTGGGGAGATAGCTCAGTGGCTTAAGTGCCTGCCTGGCAAGTACAAGATCCTGAGTTCATGGGGCCAGGGAGATAGCTCAGTAGAATAAGCGCTTGTCTGGCAAGCGCAAGGGCCTGAGTTCAATCCCTGGTTCTGAAAAAAAAAAAAAAAAAAAAAATCCTGAGTTCAGTGCCCCAGTGAATAAATAAATAAATATAGTTAAGTGTAAATTGAAATAGCCACATTTGGCCAGTATATTTGTGACATATTGAATATCACAGCTATGGAAAAATATTTAATGATGAAAAAATGTTTGAAAACAAAACATGTTTGGAATAAATTAAATGAGAATATAAAGTAGTATGGGTGTGATTATTAAACCACTTCTTTTTTAAAAAATTTATTTTATTGTGTGTGTGTGTGTGTGTGTGTGGCCAGCTCAGCCCACCAGGGGGCGGGGCTGGCTGGCATGTGGTGCTGGGGGATTGAACCGCAGTCCCTGTGCTCTGCTAAGCTTGTTCCAAGTAGGTGCTTTAGACCACTGAGCCATCTCACCAGCACCAAGAGAAAGAGTCGGGATGGGGGCGCGAACCGGCGACCTCACACTCCGCAGCCCGGCGCCGAGACCGCCGCACCAGGTCGCCGCCTGGGTGTGATTATTGTTTCTTTTAAAAATTGCATAAACAGGGCTGGTGAGATGGCTCAGTGGTCTAAAACACCTACTTAGAACAAGCTTAGCAAAAGCACAGGGACCGCGGTTCAATCCCCCAGCACCACATGCCAGCCAGCCCCGCCCCCTGGTGGGCTGAGCTGGCCACACACACACAAAATAAATAAATAAATAAATATTTTTTTTTAAAAATTGCATAAACATAGTAGCCAGGTGTGGTGGCATATGCCTATAATCCCAGCACTCAGGAGACTGAGGCAGAAGGATTGCCATCTGTTTGAGGCCAGCCTGGGCCAGATGGTAAGTTCAAGGCCAGCCTAACTACAAGGTGGAACACTGATTCAAAAAAATTTACATAAACATAGAAAAATGCCAAAAGAACATATATAAAAATCTGTGTCAGATCTTTAGAGTGATTCTTGTAGTTTGTCATATATAAAGAACATACATTGTTGATTATTGTATGGATGGATAAATTTTTACATGTGTGCATACCTGAACTTCTGACATGTTTTTACCACCACTCAGATGGAGAGGCAGAGGAGTCCCAGCTCCTCAAGAAGCGCATATGGTTTTCTTCATTTTTATTTCCTTATGGAGGCAAAATACCCATGACATAAGTTTAGCTTTTTTTTTTTTTCGGAACCAGGGATTGAACTCAGGTCCTTGCACTTGCCAGGGAAGCACTTATTCCACTGAGCCATCTCCCCGTCCCCTAAGTTTAGCCATTTTTAAGGGGACAGTTTGGTGGCATTTAGTTCATTCACAGTGCTGTGCAACCACCACTCTCCTAGTAGAAGGAGAGCATTTTCATCGCCCAGAAGAAACCCCACACCCATTAAGCAAACTTCCCATCCTCCCTCTGTGCAGCCCTGGCAGCCACCAATCTACAACCTGTTTCTAGGATTTCAGTACTTTGAGTTTTACTTTTATAATTGGAATAGTTGTTTTTTTTTAGTCTTACCATGATTATTAGAGCTTCTCAAGCCCTCACACCGTGGCTCCATACTAGAGAAATGGCCACATTTGAGAGTGGGCTTACCCAAGTCTGCTCTTGCTTCTGCTGGGAAGGCTTCCCAGAAGATGTGGGAGCTGGAGCCCTCTGCTGGCCACTGTGCCTCCCACCACCCTGGCCTCTTCCTGTCCTCTGCAGACAGCTGATCACCATCCGCAGAGCCCACCTGCTGTCAAGGCTGCGGCCAGCCAGTGCCAACACCTATGAGTATCTACAGCGGCAGCATTTGAGGTGAGGGCCAAGAGCCAACACTGCACATCTCAGTCCCAGACACTGGCCACTGTCCTCAGGGGATCCCTCTGGGAGGTGGCTTGGGTGGAAGAGAAACTTAAGAGCTGACCATGATAGGGCCAGGGAGATAGTGCAAGTAGCACAAGCTGGTGGTGAGCACAAGATCTTGAGTTCAATTCCCAGTACAAAAAAAAAAATGAGCTGACTATAGATAGGGGACCTATTGTAGGCCAAAAATAATTAGATGGTTACAATGAGAGAGCTTCTCATTAAACCTTACAAGCCCATGTAAGCCAGGATTAGTACATCTGTCTTCTGGTGGAAAAGGAATGATCTGGTCTCCAATGGGACTCATTTTTGTGGCCAGGAAGGTGAAATGCCAAGAATTTTACCGTCCTGAGTCCATGCAGTTGAAAGTATATTCCATGGTCATTCAATGTCACAGTGGAAGAAGACTTAGATCTTATGTGACTGGCTCAAAGTCATGACTAAGAGGCAGAGTTGACATCCACACTTGCAGGTTTCTTCTACTTAGCTGGCTGTCTGGGTCCCAGCCCCATCCCTGACCTCCTGACATCCTTGGTTCCAGGGCTCTTTTCAGCACCCAGCACCATGGAACATGGGCCAGGGTTGGGGGATGAGCAGCTAAGTGTTAATCACAGTCATGCAAAGGGGAAGGACTTAGAGGCCTGTGCTAAGCTCAGGAAATCTAGAGTATGTGCTTGTTGACGTAGACCAGGATTCCGGGTGTGGTCTGGTCAGGGAAAGGCAGGTCTTACTTTACTCTTCTCCCCCAGCTGTGCATGTTGGCAACCACTCACTAGGCCCCAGGCCCTGTAGGCCATTGGGCCACCTACACCCTGCAATATTGGTCAGGCCTTGGGACCTGTCCTCGGATTCCTTTGAGGCAGAGGGGTCTCCAGGTGGCTGCTGATCCTCTGCCCTGCCCAGGGAACACCACCAGCTGCAGTTCCAGGATCTCAGCATCCCAGAGGAGCACTTCAAGCCCCAGGGCTCCTACCAGGACTGGGGTGATGGCCCTCGAAATGACCCCAACGTCAAGCTCAAGTCGTACAACCTGTCAACTCTCTATCCTTACGGGGACCCCCAAGTGATAGACTATGACACTGTGAGTCTGGCCTTGGCCACCTCCATGGAGGGTAGACATCAGCATGGTCAGAGGTGTGGGATTAGGCCTTGAGCTGTGGGTCTGTCTGGAAGGGTATGGTCTGGCTTCTGGGCCTCTCCATGAACTAGTGAGTGGGTTGTGGAGTAGAGACCTTAACATGGAACCCAGATCATCCAATAGGCTGAGGTGGACATCCTGGGAGTGGACGGGATCCTGTACAAAGGCCGAATGACCAGCCAGACTGGGACTCGACTCTTGGCCACCAAGGAGAAAGAGCCAGCAGGTAAGAAACATTGGACACTCCTGGAAAACCCTACCCTGGGTCCTTGCTGTGCTGGGAAGGGCGAAGGGTTAGGTGCAGGACTCAGGGCTGGTGCCATCCCTGACTGGGAATCCCTCATACAATATCTCACAATACCTGCCACCTGGAGACAGTGGGCTGCAGTGTGTTTATGAGGGGGCAAATTGTAAGCAATTAACAGAAGGCAAGAACCCACAGTTAGAAAGAGAGATAAACAGCTGACCTGCATGAAGGTTCTGGTAATGGGGCAGTTGGCCTGTGACAAGGGCATAGCCTACAGAGGGTGCTGGGCTACTGACAAGAGAGTCATGCCAAGGCCCACAGTCCATAGCAGAGGGACTGGATACTACTTTGATGAAAAGGGGAAAGGAGTTACTTGGTGAATGGATTAAGAGGATGGAGAGTGATCTAGGTGGAAGAGTGAGCAGGTACAAGGATTGTGCAATGGGCTGAAGCCAGGTACAGGTAGAACTTTGGGAGGATGAGCCCATCTGGGTACAGAGACTAGGGTGGATGATACAGAGATTTGTACAGGACATAGATCTCAGGATCTGGCTTTGGAACCCCAGGAATGTAGATTTCATCACAGAAGTTCCAAATATAGAAGGGATAGGCAACATATCCCTTTGGAGTGTTTTCTCTTCTT